GCAGCCTTTCTCTGCTTTAACTAACCTTGCATTTAACAGCCTGAGGAAGACATCCTGGCTACACTAACATCTTCTAATACAACAGATCTCTAATCAATATCTATCTAACTAAGAAATTACCTAACACTACTTTGCCGCTGCTAATGGAAAACCCAATACTTAAATAGAATCTTAGGGTACATAATACAGTCACTGCTTCCTTTTGACATTATATGAGAAACTATGCCTATAAAACATAGTGTGCAATTATATAGCATCTCTGTATCAAGCCTGCCAACACTAATACCTGATAAAAATAATGATAATAATAATTTCTGCTTAAATTAACGAAAACAAATATAAATAAACACGTAACTTTAACAAAATCCCTTTTTTTGGGAGCAGCATATATGGCTTAATTTGAATCTGAGCTGAAACAAAGCACAAGCAGGGTAGGACAAATGGAGAGAGATATGTGGTGTTAACAACAGTAACTTTACATGGGAAGAAAAGAAACAAGAACACTTAGTGGTGTTTAAACATCATATGCAGCCCGACAGTCAAAAACACTTGGAGTTAAACAAAGACAACTGGGTATAGTAAGCTGACGTACAGTAGAAGGAGGGAAGCTTTTGTCTGAAAAGCTATATAAACCAGTGCAAACACACTTATACACACATACACTTGAGGGATGGAGATCTCTGCTCTCTTTATTTGTCTGAGACTGGCCCTAGGTTTGTTTCAGCTGAACTCAGCTTTTGCTTTGACTGTTTGTGGGGATCGTTTGAAACTAAATGCTGGGTGTACAGAGGTTGGAGCTGCTGCTGGAGTCAGTACTGAGGCTTCATCTGTGAAATGTGAGCTGCAAGGTATCGCTAGTCTACCTGCATTCTCAGCAGAAGGTGACTACATCATTGGGGGGGTTTTCTCCTTACATGAATACATGCCCACAATGAATCACAGCTACACCACCAGGCCTGAGCCACTGAAGTGCACAGGAAGGTCAGTAAGAGGCAGAAGTACATCATAAAAGCCTGTGACTGTGTGGGACAGAGATGTTTAAGTTTGTATGATATGAATACAATATATTTATACACTTTTGTTTTCTACTGCAGACTTTAAGAAACTAATATCAGTTTTTTTCACATTAAGCACCAATTCAGGAGCTCAGAAAGGTATCATATTCATAAAAAAGGCAGATTGTGTCTGTGTGAAAAAGACATTTTTGTGTTTTTTAACAGAAAATATAATTGTGTTGCAGAATTGTGGTTGTTACAGATGCAGTCAAGCAAAAAGTTATTGTCCATAACTATGAAATGCAGTTCTTCTTTATTGAGTATTTAATGTGAAAATTACTTCCATATTATTTGTTGCCTACATTTCAAAAATAACATGATTATCTGTCTGCAGCATTGACACTTTAGAACTTAGCATCTCACGTGCAATGGTCTTTGCCATTGAGGAGATTAACAACAGTACAAAGCTGCTGCCAGGCATCAGGCTTGGTTATCAGATCCATGACTCATGTGCTTCAGTGACCTTGTCAGTGCATGCAGCATTCCAGCTTTCTAATGGTCTGAACCCTGTGTTTGATACCGACGACTACTGTTCTAAATCTGGTATGGTGATGGCTGTTGTTGGTGAGTCTGGTTCCACACCATCCATCAGCATTTCACACATCATCGGGTCCTTTAATATTCCTCTAGTAAATATTTTGACTTTTTGACTTTGTTTTAAAAATACAGCCATGCTTATATTTAATTGTGCCATTACATAATTACCCTAATCTGTTGCTTCCCTTCAGGTGAGTCACTTTGCCACTTGTGCATGCCTATCTGATAAGCGTCAGTACCCGAGCTTTTTCAGAACAATCCCCAGTGATCGGTTCCAGGCTGCGGCACTGGCCAAACTGGTGAAACACTTTGGATGGACTTGGATAGGTGCTGTCCGGTCAGATTCGGACTATGGGAATAATGGCATGGCATCTTTTCTGGATGCAGTGCACAAAGAGGGGATCTGTGTTGAATACTCTGAATCTTTCCATCGGACCCACCCACGTAGCAGGATCCAGAGAGTGGCTGATGTTATCCGCAGGTTTTTAAATCTCAGGCTGTGCTTGTCTTCCCTGTACTGACACTGCATTTCTACACACAAAACCACAACAAGACATAGTCAAAGAGATGGTTAAAAAAATTAATTTTTTAAAATCTTTTGGCAAATTCATTATTATACTATGCACTGGATTTTCTTAATGTTTTTCCAGGTCAACAGCTATGGTTGTTGTGGCATTTGCAACCTCTGGAGACATGAGGCTCCTGCTGGAGGAGCTGTCTCGTGAGCCTTCCCCACCTCGCCAATGGATAGGCAGTGAGGCCTGGGTAACCCACCCAGAAATGCTGAGGTTCACGTTCTGTACAGGAGCCATGGGATTTGCCATTGAGAAATCTGTTATCCCAGGTCTGAGAGACTTCTTGCTGGATCTCTCTCCCACTAAAGTGGCAGCTTCTCCAGTTCTGACTGAGTTCTGGGAGGATGCATTCAACTGCAGGCTGGAACAAAGTGAGAAAGTTGAGCCAATTATTCAATGAACAGAATTGAAAGTCATATTTGGGTTTTTGTTGTTGTTTTGTGTAGTATTTTCTAATACTACACTCTTCCTGTTGGGTCAGGAGGTAGAGTAGGTCATTTCCCAACCGGAAGGTTGGTGGTTCAGTTATTGGCTTCTCTAAAGAAGCTAATATTCAGGATATGTACTTTGGTAAAAATACTAAAGTAATAGCATTAAAATATACTTAAAGTAACAAAAGTAAAACTACCCATTATGTAGAATGCCACAGTTCACACATATCATATTAATGAATCATAATTATTGATGTATTAATTGTGTACATCATGTTTAACAAAGTACAATGTTTTTCTCTAAAATGCTGTGGAGTCAAAGTAGAAAGTAGCAATAATGAAGATACTCATGTAAAGTACAAATGCAGTACCTTAAAATTGTACTGAAGTACTGTAAATGTAATTAGTGACTTTCCAACACTTAAAAATAATATAATACAAGAAAAAAAAATTAAAAAAAATAATGTCAAGGGTACAAAAATGAAAAACTATCCCTGTCTCTGTATCATTTAGGTGCTGCCACAAACAGGAGGATGTGTGATGGAAGTGAAGACATACAAAAGCTCCAGAACCCGTACACTGATACATCTCAGCTCCGAACCACTAACATGGTGTACAAGGCTGTTTATGCAATAGCGCATGCCATTCATAACACAGTGTGTCAGGAGACTAATTCTACTACTCAGTGTGATAAACTCACCAGGATTGAGCCCAAACAGGTCACTTAAAACAAATAAATTAAAAGCCTAGTGCATTATTTATTTTAATTATAATCTACATTGTATTAAATACATTTTTTGTACATTATTTTATTCCAACCTCACAGGTTGTTACTCAGCTGAAGAAAGTAAATTTTTCCCAAAATGGTTATCATGTGTCATTTGATGCCAATGGGGATCCTGTGGCCACATATGAGCTGGTTAACTGGCAGAAAAGTGAGCGTGGCAGCATTGTGTTGGTGACCGTAGGGTATTATGATGCATCACTGCCACTGGGCCAGGAGTTACATATCAACAGGAACCTCACCTGGGCAGAGGGCAGCACACAAGTGAGAAGCAATAATATAGTGTTAAATCTTGGTGAAATCAATCATATCAGTTCTGTAACTACAGTACAATTCTGTGTGATTTTGTCTATGTACTGTATGTGGCAGGTGCCTGT